ACTGTGTGCAGTTTTGGTCTCCTTACTTGAGAAGAGATATACTAGCACTGGAGGGGGTGCAGATGAGATTCACTCGGTTGATTCCCGAGTTGAGAGGGTTGGATTATGAGGAGAGACTGAGTAGGCTGGGATTATACTCATTGGAATTCAGAAGAATGAGGGGAGATCTTAAAGAAACATATAAGATTATGAAGGGAATAGATAAGGTGGAGGCAGGGAGGTTGTTTCCGCTAGCAGGTGAAACTAGGACTGGAGGGCATCGCCTCAAAATAAAGGGAAGCAGATGTAGGACTGAGGTCAGGAGGAACTTCTTCACCCAAAGGATTGTGAATCTGTGGAATTCCCTGCCCAGTGAAGCGGTTGAAGCTACCTCGCTGAATGTTTTTAAGGCAAGGCTAGATAAATTTTTGAACAGTAAAGGAATTAAGGGTTATGGTGTGCGGGCGGGTAAGTGGAACTGAGTCTCAAAAAGATCAGCTACGATCTTATTAAATGGCGGGTCAGGCTCGAGGGGCCAGATGGCCTACTCCTGCTCCTAGTTCTTGTGTTCTTATGTTCTTATGCAACTGTACTGGAATAGCTTGGCTAGGGGAGCAGCAAGTTCTGGGGCACAAGTCTTCAGTACTATTGCTGGAATGTTGTCAGGGCCCATAGCCTTTGCAGTATCCAGTGTCTCCAACCGTTTCTTAATATCACGTGAAGTGAATTGAATTGGCTGAAGACTGGTATCTGTAATGCTGGGGACCACTGGAGGAGGCTGAGATGGATCGTCCTCTCGGCAATTCTGGCCGAAGTTTGCTGTAAATGCTTCAGCCTTATCTTTTGCACTGATGTGCTGGGCTCTTCCATCATTGAGGATGAGGATATTTGTGGAACCTCCTCCTCCAGTGAGTTGTTTAATTGTCCACCACCATTCACAACTGGATGTGGCAGGACTGCAGAGCTTAGATCTGATCTGTTGGCTGTGGGATCGCTTAGCTCTGTCTATCACTTGCTGCTTTCGCTGTTTGGCGTGCAAGTAGCCCTGTTTGGTGGCTTCACCAGGTTGATACCTCATCTTCAGGTATGCCTGGTGCTGCTCCTGGCCTGTCCTCCTGCACTCTCCATTGAACCAGGGTTGATCCCCTGGCTTGATGGTAACGGTTGAGTGGAGGATATGCCGGGCCATGAGGTTACAGATTGTGCTGGAGTACAATTCTGCTGCTGTTGATGGCCCACAGTGCCTCATGGATGCCCAGTGTTGATTTGCTAGAACTGTACGAAGTCTGTCCCATTTAGCACGGTGATAGTGTCACACAACACGATGGAAGTTATTCTCAATGTGAAGGCGGGACTTCGTCTCCACAAGGACTATGCGATGGTCACCCTTACCAATTCTGTCATGGATAGATACAACTGCAGCTGGCAGATTGGTAAGAATTAGATCAAGTATGTTTTTCCCTCTTGTTGGTTCCCTCACCACCAGCCACAGACCCAGTCTAGTAGCTATGTCCTTTAGGACCCGACCAGCTCAATCAGTAGTACTGCTGCCGAGCCACTCTTGGTGGTGGACATTGAAATCCCCCACCCACAGTACATTTTGTGCCTTTGCCATCCTCATTGCCTCCTCCAAGTGTCGCTTAACATTGAGGAGCACCAATTCATCAGCTGAGGGACAACGGTATGTGGTAATCAGCAGGAGGTTTCTTTGCCCATGTTTAACCTGAAGCCATGAGACCAACACCCTCCCGACTGTATACCACAGTGCCGCCCCCTCTGCTGGGTCTGTCCTGACGGGGGGACAGGACATATCCACTGATGGTGATGGTGGTGTCTGGGACATTGTCTGTAAGGTATGATTCTATCAGTATGACTATGTCAGGCTATTGCTTAACTAGTCTGTGAGACATCTCTCCCAAATTTCGCACTAGCCCCCAGATGTTTGTAGGCATGTGTTTGGAAGGTGCTGTCTGAGGATCTTTGGTGAATATCTGCTGTGCACCATGTGGATAGTTCACACTGTTGCTACTGAGCATCAGTGGTGGAGGAAGTGCTTGTTTGTGGATGTAGTGCCAATCAAGCGGGATACTTTGTCCTGGATAGTGTCAAACCTCTTGAGTATTGTTGGAGCTACATTCATCCAGGCAAGTAGGGAGTATTCCGTCACACTCTTGATTTATGCCTTGTAGATGCTGACCAGGCTGTGGGGGTGAGTTACTCCCTGAAGGATTCCTAGCCTCTGACCTGTTCTTGGAGCCACTGTATTTATGCAGCTAGTCCAGTTCAGTTTCTGGTCAATGTAAACCCTCAGGACGTTGATAGTGGGGTATTCAATGATGCTCAAGAAGACAGAGGGTAGAAGTCAAAAAGGCAGCAGTCTGACTGGCCAAGGCTGAGGCCCAAAGACAACGCTATAGAGCCAAATGACATGGTGGGGGAGAAAAGCCTGAAACATCCAACACAATGGAGAGGTGATGGCCTAGTGGTAATATAGTTGGATTGTTAAATTGAAGACCCAGGGGATGTGGGTTCAAATCCCACTTTGGGAAATAGTAGAATTTGAATTCTATTTTTAAAAAAAGGTTCTGGAATTAAGAGTCTGATGGTGACCATGAAACCATTGTCAGGAAAACCCATCCGGTTCACTGAGGTCAATTAGGGAAGGAAACTGCAGTTCTTTTCCAGTTTTGACTTACATGAGACTACAGAACCGTTGCAATATGGTTGACTCTTAACTGCCCGCTGGGCAACTAGGGGTGGGCAATAAATGCTGCCTAGCCAGGGACGCCCACATACCATGAATGAATTAAAAAAATGATGACCATCATGATGCTTAAAGTTCTTTTTGAAGCCAAGAGGTCAAAGATCAAATGGACAAAATCTCCTTTTGATTTTAGGACAATGTGCATCTTCTTAAGGGTGTCAAGGTCATCCATCAATGGTGGAAAGAATACTTTCAACAACTCCGAATTGTGAATCCATAACTCCAGCTGATAAGTCCCAGGATATCCTCCAGTAACAAATTCCATGAGTGAGCCACCATTGATGGCAGAGCTGCGACAAGCCCCTTGACTATTACAATCCATCTGACAGTGATTATTCATCTCATCAAAGATCAACTTGCCCCTGGTGTCAGTATTAATTACTGCCTGCGTGGAAAAATCTTCAACCGTTGTAACCTTCATGCCAGAACTCAACTGATTACTAAAGACATAAATGATCTCCAGTTTGCCCATGATTACATAGGACGTAGAACACAGAACAGTAAACAGCACAGTACAGGCCCTTCAGCCCACGATATTGTGCCGAACTATTATTCAACCAAAATCAAACTACTCTGCACACCCAACATTATACTATCCTCCATGTGCCTACCAAGAGTTACTTAAAAGTCTCTAAAGTATCTGACTCCACTACCACTGCTGGCAGTGTCTTCCACATGCCCACCACTCTCTGTGTGAAGAATTTCAGTGCCCACTCTGCAACAGGTTTATAAGCCATTCTTGATCTTTTCAACTCTGCAAACAAGAAACTTGGTCTGTCTTTAAAGTTGCCAAACCAAAACTCATTTATCAACCCATATCTGGTCATCCAAAACTACGACATTCCATAGATGTTGATGGAGAGATCCTGGAATATACTGAGCACTTCGACAGCCACCTCTCTCAAAAGGCCACCATTGAGGAGGAGATCCAAAACCAGACCAGCTCATTAGCCTAGCCTCCTAAAATCTACAGCACAGAGTGTTTCATAACAAAGACCTTCACATGTCAATAAACGTCCGAATGTAATGGGCACTTATCATTGCCCCATTTCTGCGCTACAGTGAAACTTGGACTGTGTACAAACACTAGTGACTTTCTTGAAGCCACTGCCTTGTGCATTCAGACAAAACTCTGACAAGACCACTTACAGACTGGGTACTGTGTCTGGAAGGCCAAATAGTGTCTCCCTGGCCAAATGACATCTTCTCAACTCTCAAATAGTTTGAGGACAAAGAAAATGCTTCAAAGACACTCTGAATCTCTCTTTGAAATGTGGCATCGTTGGCATTAATGACAGGTTGGAGCTGGCTACCAATCATTTAGATTGGTGACAACCTATCCATAAAGCTCCATCATGTTTTGAGGCACAACAACTTAACGATGAGGCAGAGTAGAGGCAGAGAAGGAGAAAAGAGGAAGGAAATCCAGATCCCATTAGCTCATGGAATATTCTGCCCTGCACACTCATAGATCTATGGGGCAAGAGTCAGAGTTCAGTCACACAATGATCCATGGCAGGGATCTGTGTAAGAACCTCACTATTCACATTATTTATTAATGACTTGGGTAGTAGCATAGAAAGTCCTATGTCCAACTTTGCAGTAAAGCTGGGCAGCATTGTGTACAGTGTAAATGGCAGCATTAAATTCAAAAGGAATACTGATACGCAAAGTAAATGGGCAAAATTATGACAGATGGAGTTCAATGTAAACAAGTGTGAGGATCCATTTCAAACTGAGGAAGGACAAATCAGGGTATTTTCTAGATGGTATGAAGTTAAATACAGTGGCTGTCCAAAGACAATTGGGGGTCCAGGTGGATAGATCTTTAAAATACCACAGACAGGTGCAGAAAATAATCAAGGAAGCTAATGGAATGCTGGCCTTTATAGCAAGAGGACTGCAGTACAAGGATGTAGAAGTTATGTTACAATTATACAAGACCCTGGTTAGACCCCACATGTTTATCATAATGTGTTATGATAATGGATCGCTTGAAAGATGAAAGCGCAATCCCTGACAACTTCAAAAAGAGACTTGTACATATGTTTGAAAAGAGAAAAATTGCAGGACAATGAGGATAGGGTTGCTGAGTGGAACTAATTGGACAGCTTCCTCATAGACCCAGCACAGTGGAAGAGATGAATGATCCCTGATGTCTATGCAACAAAATTCTATCAAGGAAAATCAACATTAATTCTTTTGATCTACTCCAAATCCCATCTCTCTGCATGTGTAAGGAGCTCCAAGGGTTTACCTTCTCTTTGAAAGAGTTCAGTGTTGACAATAGCAGTCATTGACTGTAGTTTCTGCTTCACCAGCCGATCTGGAAGAAGGTTCATGATGAAACTATGTAACAGGCGGCTAAAAGCAAACAAAGAAACAAAAACAAAATCATGTTAGCAGAGAAGGAACAGATTATTCATGAGGTGCTTCAGCAGAATCCGAGCAAACATCAGGGATCCATCAGCATATTCTGAGAGCAATAAATGTTAATGAGCTCAGCATAATCTGACAGCACATTGAATGTTAATTAGATGCATTCAAAAGGTCTGGCCATGAAAGAAAACAGGATCCAGATTACAAAAACACGTTTGGAATTTTTAAAATTCTAATTGCAGGCCGGTTCCACGCTAATCGTGCAGCAAGTTTTTAATACCGCACAAAATCTGAAATGCTTGGTGTGATTCTTCGGGCTTTCTTTGTTTAGAACAGTCTGCGTGGAGTTTGCACATTCTCCCTGTGTCTGCGTGGGTCTCCTCCAAGTGCTCCGGTTTCCTTCCACTGTCCAATGATGTGCAGCTTAGGTGGATTGGCCATGCTAAATTGTTTGTAGTGTGCAGGAATGTGTGGGATAGGTGGATTAGCCATGGGAAATCCAGGGTTACAGGGATAGGGTAAGTGTGTGCATCTGGATGGGCTGCTCTTCAGAGGATCAGTGTGGACTCGATGGGCTGAAATGGCCTGCTTCCACATTGAAGGGATTCTATGATTCTATGATGATGATAGATATGCGGTGGATGGGAAAATCTTAAACTAGAGGTCATTATTAAAACTCTAAAATTAAAGGAGGGAATCATCTATCTCTGTTGGCTAAATAGCAGGTTTGGAATATAGAGTGATACCAGCAGTTTCGGCTCTATTCCCACACTGGCTGAGGTTACCATGAAGGACCCTCCTTCTCAACCTAGCTTGAGGTGTAGTGACCCTCAGGTTGAACCAGCACCTCCAATCATCCCCCGCTAATGAGTTAACAAGGGCTGCAGATGCTGGAGTCGGAGTCAATACAGTGTGGAGCTGGAGAAACACAGCAGGCCAGGCAGCAGGAAAGTCGACATTTCCGGTTTACGCCTTTCATCAGGACTGGGGAGGGGGAAGGGAGCTCAGAAATAAATAAATGGGGGGGTGGAGCTGGGTGTAGGTAGGTGGGATGGTGATAGGTAGGGGTAGTGGAGATTGGTCAGTGGGAAGGGTGGGGCAGATAGGTGGGAAAAGAGATGAACAGGTTGTGTCAGGTCAAGGAGGCGGGGATGAGGGGGGAGGGTTGGACATGGGATAAGGCCGAGGGTACAGAGATTCTGAAACTGGTGAATTCTATGTTGAGGCTGTTGGGCTGTAAGTTCCCAAGGCGCAATATGAGATGTTGTTCCTCCAGTTTGCATGTGGCATCATTGTGACACTGAAGGAGGCCCAGAATGGACGTGTCAACCAGGGAGTGGGAGGGTGAGTTAAAATTGTTGGCGACTGGAAGGTGTAGTTGATTAAAGCGTACAGAGCATAGTTGCTCCGCGAATGTATCACTGAATCTACGCTTGGTCTCACGGATATGAAGGAGACCACATCCGGAGCAACGGATACAGAAGACCAGGTTGGAGGATGTACAGGTGAACCCCTGTCTCATTGGAAAGATTGGCTAGGGCCTTGAATGGAGGTGAGGGGGCAGGTGCAGGGGCGGTTGCAGGGAAAGGTGCCAGGGGTGGTGAGGTTAGCAACCATTTTAACTCCCCCTCCCACTCCCTGGGTGACATGTCCGTCCTGGGCCTCCTCCAGTGCCACAATGATACCAAACACAAACTGGCAGAACATCACCTCATATTCCACCTCAGGAGCTTACAGTCTGATGGCCTAAACATGGAATTCACCAATTTTAAAACCTCCCCACCCCCGGTCTCATCCCATGTCCAACCCTCCCTCTCATTCCTGCTTCCTTGACCTGACACAACCTGTCCATCTTCTCTCCTACCTATCCACCCCACCCATCCCACTGACCAATCTCCACTGCCCCCTACCTGCATCCACCCATCACCATCTCACTTACCTACCCCGTACCACCCTCCCTCCCTCCGTCTACTTATTTCCAAGCTCCCTTCCCCCTTCCCCAGTCCTGATGAAGGGTGTAAACCCGAAACGTCGACTTTCCTGCTCCTCTGATCCTGCCTGACCTGCTGTGCTCCTCCAGCTCCACACTGTATTGGCTCTCTCTAATGAGTGCTTGGACTATGGCAACTTTACTTTAAAGAACAGAGCTCGCCCATTTAAAACAGGAGATGACGTGTAATTGTTTCTCATAGGGGATTGTAGATCTTTGAAACTCTTTCTTGAAAATCAGTGGAAGCAGAACGCTTGAATATTTTTGAGGTAGAGGTGGAAAAATTTGTACCATAGGGTTATCAGGAGTAGGTGGAAATGTGGATTTGAGGTTACAATCAGATCGACCATGATCTTATTTAATGATGCAGGAGTTTCGAGGGGCCGAATGGTCTATTTCGCCCTGTTTATATATTTGCATATTTCATGACCTCCGAATTTTCCCAAAGTGCTTTACACGATGATTAACGTTTGAAATGTAGTCATCATTGCTATAAACTCAATAAGAGGCTGCCAATTTAAGCACAGCAAAGTCCTACAAATATCAATGTGTTAATGACCAGAGAAAATCTATTTTGCTGCTTTATTGATGTTTGGCAGGTAAATATTGATAAGATCACTGGAGAAACATGTCCTCGTCTCCTTCAAAATAGGGCCAGAGGATTTGCTACATCTGCAAGACCATTAGACTATAAGAAACAGGGACAGCAGTTCCATAACCTGCCACACCCGTCAACAGGATCATGGCTGATCCAACATTCCTCACATCGACTTTCCAACTCTTTCCCCATGACCTTTGATTCCCCGACAGATCAAGAATCTACCTCAGCCTTAAATATACACAAGGACTCTGCCCCCACTGCTCTCTACGGCAAGGAGTTCCAAAGACTCATAACCCTTTGAGGTAAGAAATTCACCCTCATCTCAGTCTTAAATTGGTGCCCCTTCATTCTGAGACTATGCCCTTTGATCCCAGACTCGACCATGAGGGGAAACATCCTCTCAGCGTTTACCATTAAGAATCCTATATGTTTCAATGTGATCAACTCTCAGAGGACAGTCGAGACTTCACTTTAACAGTTCCTCAGAAAGACAGCACCAGTGACAATGCAGCACTCCGTGAGCTGGAGTATCAGCCTCTTTTGCCATTGGGCACCATCAGTGAGCCATGGCTAATGGTGCTTTTAAGGAACATATTTCTAACTTTGTGCAACTCACATAGCTCTGAGCTCAGCTGCAAAATGCAGGTTCAAAGCAGCATGAAGGGTTCTCTCTGCAAACAGAAACAGCTGGGTTAATTTTCAATTTCAGAAAAGCTCTCCCTTTAGCACTTTGCTTGTTATATATTCATTTGGGGCAGGTCTAGAAGATAACTTGCTCTGAAACAAATCAAGCAAGATTGATACTCCTCAGCCAGAAGGACCGAAAGCACCATGGTCATATTACTGGATCAGCAATCCACTCGAATGTGCCAGAGATGTGAGTTCACATCCTGCCCCAGAAACATGTGCAATTTAAAATTAACTAGTTAAAGAGTCAGAAATAAAGAGCTAGTCCCAGTAATAACGACCGAACACCCCATCCCTTTTCATTATTCTAATCTATGGATGTAATCCTCTATTCCCTCTGATAATTTTAACCAACCTGTTCAGAGGAGTTATGACACAACTCTGAAGCACATAAGGGTTAAACCAGGGCCTTCTAGCCCCAAGCCTGGGACACTGCCACTACATGACAAGATCCTTCCCTACTCCCTCATATATTTATCCATATTTCCCTTAAATGAATCAACACCATTCACTTTAGTTCCTCATTGTCACCACACTTTGGGTAATGATCTTCTGAACACCTTGTTGGATTTCTTGGTGACTATTTTGTGTTGATGTCCTTTTGCATATAAGTTGGTTTCTGTTAGAACCACCTGGATGTCTTGTGTAGATTCATCACTGCCATATTGTCTGACTGGCCTTCACCTCATCTAGTGATACCACAGAATCAGAGAATTGTTATGGTACAGAAGGTGGCCTTTTAGCCCATGGTGTCTGCTCCAAACCTCTGAGCATTTCAACTTATTCCCAATCTCATTTCTTTATCCCACTGCCCTGAAATTTGTTGCTGTTTCAATAATCACCCAATGCCCTTTTCAATGGCTCATTCGAATCTGCCTCCACCACATTTCTAGACTGTGCATTCCAGACCCTAACTACTCGCTGTTTGAAAAAGTTTTTTTTCTCACCTCTCATTTGCTTTTTTCAAAAAACGCTTTAAATCTGCGCTCCCAGTTCTCAATCTGTTATGATTTGAAAATCCCTACCAAATCTCCTTCTCTGCAAGAAGACCCACCTTCTTCAACCATTTCTCATTACCAACATTTCACATTCCTCAAACTATTCTTGTACACCTCTCTGAATGGGCAATGGATTTTGTATGTTTTATCAACATCTCTCTCTAACCGTACGGTGACCTTAAAAGACTTATGTACATGCAGGCCAAGTTTGTCAGCTCCAGCATTCACTTTACAGCAGTGCCCTGTATTTTATTCTGTACCTTTATGTTCTTTTGTGCCAAAGTGCATTAGCACTCTCTTTTAAAGCCTGCAATGACATGCTGTCCATCACAACTAATTGAATGCATTGAAATTTATCAGACGCCTATCCACCCACTCTTTTATGTCAATGTCCTTTGATGTTCCACACTGAGCTCCTCATAGTTTACATTCTTGCACATTGTCTGTCATCCACAGATTTTAAAAGTGTTCCCTGTACATTGAAATCGATACGATTAATATATATCAGGAAAAGGAAGGCTCGCAATACCAACTCATGGGGAGCTCCATGGCAAGCCTTCTTCCAGCTGGAAAATACCTATTAACCATAACTCTCTGTTTCCTATCACTCAACCAATTTTACATTCACATTGCTACAGTCCTTTTAATTCTGCGACCTATGACATTTCTCAATCGTCTGTTGCATAGCACTGTATCAAACATAGACAAAAAT